GGTATTGGACGGTCCTTGGACCCTTTGTGTGTGGACGTGTGCGTGTTTGTGTGTACGTGGAGTGAAATAGGTCAATATGTTTGCACGATTCATGGCGAACTCATCTTGGAGCAAACGGAGGAATTTGACAATTAGGGCCCGAGATGTTGTTTGTTTGTTTGGTGTTATCAAAGTGGGGTCCTTTCCCTGCATCGCACCACCAGGAAGGTGACTTGATTGTCAAAATACCAACCAAGGCCAGTAAGAGGCTGACCCCGGCTCAAGGACTGTCTCCATGCTCTCTGGGGGTGTGCCTCTACTGGTTCTGCAAGCCGTATATAGCCAGAGATCGCGTGTACGTGTACATATGTATATATGGTCCCGTGACCAGTGATTACGGTCCCCCCCCTCCCACCCCCATGGTATGGGTGGGGGGCTGGGGTCGGGGGGGAGGTGGTCTGTTCAAAAACGTTGACCCTATCGGCACATAAACCATCTTTTGCTGGCAGGGCCGTCATGTTGGAGCTCAAGTTGCCTAATCGACCCTCTACCGACTTTCGCGTGGTCCTCTCGCTGTGGCGCGGTGTTCATTTTCTTGAAGATGGAAACCCTAAACCGTTGCCGAGCCAATCGGATTTGCTCTCAAATACTTCGCAACTCTGCCTTCTCAGCTCTGCTTCTTCCTATTAAACTCCTATCAAACAACTCAACTGCCGGACCTTTGTTCCTCCAGATCCAAGCTCGGGTGACCCTTAACATTTGTTTCTACATCACTTGTCACTTTTTAAACCCTCGTCCAGATGGGCTTCCCCGGAAATGCACCCGATGCTTACGATAGAAGTCACCCACCATGATTCCACAGGAGAGGGGCGGGGACAGAAGTCAATAACCCGGTCGGTTCCCCGAAAATGCACCCGATGTGTGCAATAGAGGTCGCCCACCATGATTCCACAGGGGGGGCCGGGGACAGATACCCGATGCTTGCAACTGAAGTCACCCGCCATGATGCCACAGGGGGGGGGAGGGGGGGCCGGGGACTTGGTTTTATCACAACTTCCCCCTTTTGAAGGGGGGGGGGGCCCGGGGACCATAGACACTGGACCATATATATATATATACATATATCATATATATAATATATAATATGTTTGATATGTTTCCCTAGGAACCATGTCTGACCTTCAACCCCCAGAGACGGGACCCCAGAGCTGACTTCGGTTGGGTAGGTCCCCCAAAAAAGCCCGGGAGGTTTGATTTGTTCCAGTAGGTCTCCTGTCCTTCAGGTGGGTGTGGGCAACACCAACGTCACCGTACCGCTGGAGACTGCGCGGAAGAACTACACCCATTTTTTCGTGTACACTCGGTCAAGCCCCTTGGGACTTAGATGGGGCTCGCGCAAAAACGGTTGGAGCCAAAAGAGCACAAGCCGTGAGAGAAGAGCGAGGGGCATCGAAATGAAATGTGATGACCTCAAATGGACATTGGTTGGTTGCCAAACCCGAAAAACACAAGGTCATATTACCCCGAAAAGGGTGTCTGTTTTTCCAGCGTCACGCAAATTTCGGGATGTGCCTTTCAAATTGCCCCGTGTGTTTGTTGCATCGGGAGGCGGTTGAACAACTTGCCTCGAGACCTGACTGGAACCCTGGAACTTGAGCCAATTGAGGCTTCGCGGAGCAGAGCTACCCTGCAGTGCTGAGCATCTACGACATGAATGCCAGCGTCTCTGGGCTTGAGTTCGATGGCGCCTGGGTTCAGAAAGTTGGGCGGGCGGTAGGTCCAGGGTTTTGGAGCTTTAGTGCAAGTGGGCGTGGGGTGGTTTTCTTGGTCAATGGGGCAGAATCCCTGTAGACCTTGGTTGATCAGGTTGTTTCGTTTAAGTCTGCGCCATGGCCGGCGGGCTACGCTGGCTTGCTTCATTGAGCTTGTGAGGCATGGCCACCGAATGTGGAAACTCGTGACGTGCACCTATGGATGACTCCCGATTCGCATCGCCAGAGGTCCAGGGCCAGTTGGGTCACGCATTTTCATGGCTTCAAAGGTGCGTGTGCCTCATTTGGTGCAACGTTGGATACATCGTCGCATGCCCCCTCGGCCAAAACCTAGTCATTTTGTTCAGAGTACCTATGGGGTACCCTCCCATCCAACACCAGAGCTTCTGTCAGCTTCCATGACTTTTGGACAGGAGGGTAAATGCAAAGGGATACCAAAGCTGAGTGGTTCTTTAGTCTGTTTTGTGTCAGTCTGCATTTCACCCGCTATAGTTATTCACTTGTACAGGGCTCCTTAAAAGATACATGTTGCCCATTTGAAACATGTTGCTTTCTCCACCAAAATAAAGGGCCACCACATGCCACCACCATTTACAGGGCAATGTTCAGGTGTATAATGCATCCGGATCCCTGTTGTAGCAGGGACGAGGGCAGCCCAGTTCGTCTCACTCGGGAACCAGGCAAAGACTTGGACCTCTACGAGCTTGGCGGCGCGGGCTCCTCAAGAGTGAGGTATTTGTGGCTTCAAAATACCCAACGCATTTTGTTCGATGCATTCTCGTAGGGCACTACCTCAAAACTGGCTGGACATGGATCCGAATTTGGATGTCCACCAATGGTTCCCTAATTCATATTCGTGCACATTCTTATCGATGCCTTGTAGAAGTGACCTGGAAAGTTCCAAGGGCATGCGGAACCCATTGAAACCCAGCTGTTGCTTTTGTGGTCGAACGGTTTGGAAGCCACATGCTTGTTTTTGTTTTGAAGGTACCTCCTTCCCGGTTTCTTGCAGATCCAAACGGGAAGCCGCCCCCTTGTCCCCATATGATTGAAGTGGGTGGAGCAGACCCGTACCTCGAAGTGTGTGAATGCTAGTTGGACCCTTCTCGGATGCAAGAAAGTCAAGACGAAGCCGTTTAGCGGGGTTCATCACGCGCTGGATTCTGGCTTTTGGAAAAACCTATGGCATGCCCTGCAGAGGCACCAGGGGGGCAATTGAGTAGCGCAGCCCTGTACTGCTTGACTAGCCTTTGCTCATCATGGTTGCCCTCACGCCAATTAACATGGAACCTGACAGGGGGGTCCTGGAAAACCATTTTCCTTCAAAGGGACCCCCAGTCAGGTTCCATGTTGATTGGCTGAAGGAGTCTTGCGTTGAGGTCCTCTTCTGGACACCCCCCGACGACGTGTCCCGTGTAGAACTTTATGCGGCCTACTTGGCGGAGAGCAGCCTGGGCTTGTGGCTCGGCAAGTAACCCGCTTCTCAAGATAGAGAATGGCTCCCAAAATGGCTACTTTTCTATTTGGCTGTGGGTTAAAACCAATGGTACCATTTTGGGGTAGGTGCACCACCCATTTTAGTCCATTTTAATTAGTGGGGATTGGGATGTTCACTGAAAGTACGGGATTTTGCCCCATGGCCATTTGAATTCCACAAACCAGCCAACAGGGCAGGGATCCCCTTGTTCTGAGAAACTCCCGCCCGAGCATGGCTCTGGGATTGTTTGCTTCCCCATTCCTTCCATCCTTTGCTTCCAGCTTTCCGCTATAGTTTCCTATACGGCAATTGTAGAAAGAGGTCCCTCAACGAACCTAAACAAGTGTGTTGGCCCGTTTCCGTTTTGACCCCACCTTGACTGAATCTTTACTGTTGGGTTGGTGCGCGTGAAACAGGAGAGCTTCTCAGGGCTGGGTTTGTCTTGTTGCCTGACACATTCCCACAGTTCCTGAGAGGTTTGGGGCCTTGAACCTGGTTAGAACGAAAGGGAAGCATCGGGTATGTGTCAAAATCGGGGGCCCCCCAAGTTTTGTTTTTTGGGTTTTTGTTTTTTTTTATTGTTTAAATGTAGTTTCCATTTAAACCGAGGTGAAAAGGGAGCCCTAAATCAGAAAACACACCGAAGGGACACCCAAAACACACAGCAAATTTGGCCGCAGGATCGCTCCAGCTGACTTGGGGTGTCGGTTTCTGGAGTTGGTCGCCTTTTTGGGATTTACAGGAAAGCGCCCAGGACTCGGGCCCATTTTGGCCTTGAAATTCTTGGCGTGGGGTCATTTGGCGGTCAGGGTGCCTAGAACGAACAATTGCACGTCACTTCCGGGGGGTCAAAGGCAAAGCATGGATCTGGGTTGGGAGGAACCCGCTTAGAACCTCCAGTGGTGCTATTTTTGTTTGTTTCCCTTTGCAATCATTTCACCATTTTTTTCAGAACCGAGTGCCGTCAGCTTTCTTTCCCACTGGGTGTCTCCAGGAACCGCTCGCAGATCGGGGAAGCTCCCGTGCGCACGGACCAGCTGGCAATTTCGCCGGAGACCCCGCGCCTCTCCTTCACCCACTTCGCGGCTCGGAGAGCAACCTCAGTAACTCCACTTTTTGGACCCTGAATTCATTTCCCTACCAAAAGTGGCGGGCATGGGCCAATCATGTTTTAAGGTGGGGAATCCATCCCAAGCGTGAGCCTTGGCACGGACTCAACCTTAGCTCGATGCAAATTGCCGGGATTTTTGTTGATCATATGGTTTGCTCTTGTGTCGCCCAGAGCCAATCATTGGCGCCGTCTAAGTTCCCTGTAGATGTTTGTTTCTCACCCTTTCACAGCGAAGAGTGGCCCGTTGGCGTTCACGAGTTTTCGCCGTGAATGAGTGTCCACGTCCAAGCCACATGTTTTGCACTTGGAAAGGTTCCCACACTCTGAGCGTTTAGTGATGAACACTCGGACTGTTGCGAGACCTTGAGGGCCAGCGGCAGACGACATAGCAATGACAAACGCTCGCATGGAACCCCTTTTTTTCTTGGCTCCCCTCAGGGTCATGACCCTCCAATGCACACCCCCGGACCCTCCAATGGAGAACCCCAACCCCTCAGGGCCCTTGAAAACAACCAGTTTTGAGGGCCCAAAAACAATCGAGACCCTTCACAGGCTGCGACCGACCAAGAAGAGAACAGCTCTTCCGGGTTTGGGCCATGAGGTTGTGTACACCAAGTCTGCCCTAGTGGAGCAGACCACGCCCACGAGCCTGTCGATCCAGGAGCCTGTGCCACTTGCCCCCCCCCCCCCGCCCGCGGGGCGTCCTCCCCCCTCTTACCCCGACCTCCACTGCACATATGTATTTTTTGCTTGGGAGGTAGTTTCCTTTGAACAAGTACCTAGCAAAAGGGCGCTGATCCCGTTTGAAACCTGGCCGCTGGGGTCTGGATTTCCGCTGGTTCTGCAGTCTGAAGATAGAAAGCAGTGTTCAGGTTTGAATTCAGGGAGAAAACATCATAACCGATAAGCTCGCCGTCTCCTAACCGATAAGCTTTGGCCTTGGGCTTTTCTTTTTCGAGGCTTCGGACCCGGAATGCCGGGCTTCTTCTTCTGGTCGCGCTTGCCTCGTCGCTCCCCGCAGTTCCTTTGGGCTCAGCACTGACAAAAAGTGCCAGTTGCATCGGTCAAGAGACCTTTTTGCGTAAAGCGTTCAAGGCGAGATTGTCTCTCGCAAGCTTGGATTTCTGAATGCTGACATGCAGATGTCAAAGAAGTACTGTATACCGAAGTGTGTATCTATTTATACATATATATATATATGTATATAGATACATACATCGATATGTACTCGTATGTCTTACAATGTACGTCAACATGAAATGCGGCCTCTTTGGGTCTTCCTAGCATTGCTTCGCATGAGAACTTTACACCGGGAGTTGAGCGTTCACTGGCAGCTTCGCCCAGCTTACAACATGCAACCGCTACGCTGAAACTGGCAGGCTTCAAAATCAACATGTGCCCAATTCCTAGCAAAACACGCTTTTTGTTGCCCCTTCAACCCAACCAACAAATCGACAGAGTACGAGTTCCTGGCGGTTGCAGGTTAAAGTACTTTCGAAAGCACAATGAAGCATATTTGTTGCCCCTTTGACCCAACGAACCATATTCACAATGGTGCCACTTCGAGCAACATGTCACAGAAACTGTGTAAGTCGTCGCTTTGTGTTGTGGAGGATGCTGCGATTGGCTTGCGCTAAAGTGTTGAAGCATGATACCATGGAATGCTTTCCTTACCCCTGTGCCCCTGTCCTGTGAGAAAACGAGCATTGGATCCGCAGAAAACACAGGCTCAGGGGTCGTTGTATTGCCCTTGCTTGGTGAAGGAAACATCAAACTGTCCAGTTGACAGATTGTCCAGTTGACATGGTTTTCCTTGAGGGGTGATGTTGCAAGCCGGCAGGTGCGTAATGGCTGGACTGAAGCTGAGGCCTGTCCGCATGCTGGTGTTTCTCTTTGGGTCAGGTGGCAAATCTTGCCACAGGCGAGAGAGACTATGTCCCTCCCGAAAGAATGCAAGAACTATTCAGGGGGAGGTGTTCCGCTTGTTTGAAAGGAGGATGCCGAAACACTGGTTCAAACATGTTCGAAGGCTGCAAGACCTTCAGCTGCATTGGGTTGCCCAGCTCAAACTTGGATGAGGGCCTTTCTCGTTTGGATCATTAGGGACCTGTGTTGGTCAAGCTTCTGGGATGTGTACTTAGCCAGATGACACTTCGGGGGTGATGTCGATCAGCTTCTGCTTTGGGTCCTTCCTTGGAAAGGTGCAGACTGTTGGTCATTCGGAGGGTTTGCAAGGTTTGAGGCGTGAGAAGATGTGCGAGATTTAGCCCTCGTGAGCTTCATAGCCCGGCTTGTCGATCTTTGAGCCGGATTCAACTCGGGTAAGTGACTTAGGGCAAAACCTGTGGGTCTCCAAATCGTGACATCGACACTGCCTATGTGTGGAAGGTTGGTGTGTGCCCTCCAAAAAGAGGACCCTTGCAGGTCCATGGCAAACAATGCATGAAGGGGAGACCCCGACGTTTTCCCGGGATTTCACGAGCATTTGCATCGTTTGCCAGAAGAGTCTGGGACTCTTCCGACACTCAACTCCTGGATTCAGTGGCCACGAGAAGACAACTTGGCCAGGTACCACAACAGCTTCATCGATGTTGATGAAGAGGGTCCCGCATCCTTGAGGAGCAAGGCGCCGTCTTCGCTGCAACTCCCACGGGGGTTTGCAGAGTCGATTTTAACCCGCTTGGATATGTCATGTGCGGGGACTGATGACGGCTTTGATCCAAAATGGGTCTGGGGATGCACGGTCATTCCATGAAGCCCCCCCCCCCCCCTGGGGGTGCCTTGCAGGAGTGTATTTCACCAGGCCAGCAGTCTCAGGCATCTTGGCAGTACGTCCTCAGTTGGACATTCAGCACGGAAAGATCCTACAATACTTGGAGCTTCCCGACTCTCTGACTCACAAAAAGAAGTCCCAGGTTGCAGACTCTGAGCCCTACTGTGGATGGACAAAAACCTGCAACCACCTACTGCATCACCTAAGCAACCCTGGAATGATGAATTCCCTGTAACTATCCACAAACAATGTTTGTCCATGGTTTCAAAGTGGTGACAACAACTCGAGAAGAGCGGCACAGGGAACCTTAGGTGGTAGGTTCGATGATGTTCGATGCATACGTCTGAGATGAAGCGCCGGACTTTGGCCAACCGGTTTGCAAAGCGAACGTGTGTCGGCCACTAGCTCGCTTGCCACTCGCCAGGTGCGAGCTAGCAGCGAGCCGCCTCTCAATCGAGAGTTTGTGGAGGAGGACTGCGCTGGGAGTTGTCTCGAGGCGAGCCATCAATGGATCCCTTAAAGGATACATTTGGGATGGAGCCCCTAAAAAAGAGTTGTTGCCTTTTGGTTTCTCTTCAAACCAACCCAAACAATTTCCCTCAAAAGACAGACCCATGTGGGCCATTCACTTGTAAAGCAGGTGGATTTGTGGACGTATCCTGAGAGGTTTCGGGTGAGACCTAGGACTACCAAGACCGGATTACTTGCTGTAGTTAAAAGTGGAAGTTCTGGCTTTGGGTTGCGTTTGAGTGAACGCATGCAAGCATAGGGGCCGTATTGCTGTCAAATCTGCATGGAACTTGTCCATGTTCGTAATATACATGTCTTCCTGTTCAACGACGGGGTGCAAGGCAAGGATAGCCAGACCCCATCTTCCCAGGGAAACCACAATTTGAAGCCCACCTGGAAGTCTTATGGGTCCAGTACATGCTGGGCAATGTCATCTCAGTAGAACCAAAAAAAGAAGAGTTCAACTATACTTGTGTTTTGAGCGGCAGAATTGATCAATGGTCGGTGCACATGACGTGACGGACTCATGGGTTCTTCTTGGTACGTGTTTGTCCAGTCCTTGGGGCTGACACGGGCAGTGCGAGTGCCACCCTTTGTGGACCACACGGAGCTTGCACTCGCTTTTGCGTGAAGATCGTAGAAACTAGTGCTGCCACATGAGTTGTACCGCGCCCGGGCTCGGACCCTTTTCCTTCCAACCAGAACCTACCCATTTCCGGGCTGGGAGGGCAGCCTGCCCTCTCCTCTTACCTTTTGTGCCTCAACCTCAGGTTGTGGTGCCTTTTTGGGCTCGACTCATGACTTGTGCGGTCAAGGTGTGCCTTCATGTGCTTGTTCTTTTTGGTCAGCCGGCGCTTCATGTAGCTCTGTTGATTATTCAATCACGTTGATGAATCCCTTTCAGCTTGGTTTGTAAGGGATGCCAAAAGGAAACAAACCAATTTGGATCCCAATACTCCTACTTTGCCACACCCATATTGTTTGCAGTGCGGGAAACTGATTCCGCATGCCAGGAAGAGAGCTTGCACTTTACGGCCTATGTTGCCGGCTTGTCCAAGAAGCTGGCTGAGAAGGATAGCTGAAGTGCTTGAAAAACCGCTATCGTGCCGTAAACCATGCTACTCCAGTAGCCAGCATTTTGACACACAAGTGGTCTTGGCGTCATTTTGGCTTTGTGGCATCTTTCTGGTTAAGTCCGGTTGGGCACCTCGCATCGAGTCGAGCTGCCTCGAGAGTCTCCCAGACCCGGCGGTGCCTCCCCTGTTGCCTGGCAAAACCGACGAGGTTCCTCCGGCGTTCATGAAACGAATCCAACGGACGGCAGTTGTTGTTGATGAAACCCAAAAGTCAGCAGGCGCACTAAGTATGGCATTGTGCAAATCCATCTTGCATTTGAACTTTAGAACAAATACAAACATCAGGACGTACTTCCTGATACAGCTGAAGGTATGGTTAGAGGGGATTTATTTCGGCTTACTATTCGTTTAGTATCTGCCTTATTCCAGCTTAGATTTGTTGGTTGGGGTTTGAACACTGTATTTGATGGGAACAGATCTTCCAAGAGGTTTGTGTTGCTTCAAGGGTAGCGTAAACATATGTGCTGTGATATTTATTGCTGCAAGTAAACTTTAATCAACCACTACATTTGATAGTTCATATTGTGCTGAGTTGCAGGGGATGGGATTGAGGAGGTTTTGGCTGGTGGTTGAACTGGTTGTTCAACCATCACTAAGTGAACCACAAGTAAAAGCCGGGTAAGCCAAGGTTTGTAGGGAATGTCCCATCCATCAATGCGTGCAGCCGCCCTTTCGATTCTTTGCACGGACTTCGGTCGACCACTTATAAACGCCAGTGTCAAGTGAGCAGGCAACAAGTGGATACCTTTCTTCCAAGCATTACCCATAGAGACACAGACACAGAAGGGCATGCCGACCAAGACTAGGGAGATTTCTTTTGCGCATTGGCCATCCTATTCAGCTCTTCGTGGGTCCACGGGTCGTGTGTCTTTCAAAGATCGTCTTTCCGAAGTGCCTCATTTGTTTGTTCCAGCAAGAGTGTTTCATCAGAGGCTTGAGAAGTGACGATTCCAATATCGCTTGCGGAGAAGTCATTTAGAGTTGCTAGGAGTTGTGTTGCAGAACTCTCGCACGAGGTGTTGCTCAGAAGTCTTGCGTAGAAGTGTCTTGCAATACTGCAAGAGTGTGTCAACCGTCTGGAAGAGTGCAGAAGGTCCAGAGATTGCATGCAGGCTCGAGCTCTTTCCGCTGAATTGAGTTTGAGTGTTTGTTGCTCCGGGGAAAGCTGCTTTGCTCAGTCCCGAAGCGCGTCACCTTTGGACAGGAACAGGAGGGCAGTCCCTGCTCCTGGCTGAGTACAGA